ACTCGGGACAGCGGACCTGATACAGCGACGATCCCCACGCGACGGACGGCTAAGTTGATTGATGTGCGGGCGGGGAACGAATCATCGCCAACGATAGGACGCTGATGGGGGAGGGGGGTGGGTTGCGAAGCAGGAAAAAGAGCATGGTTACAGTTTGCCACGCCGCGAGAGTTTTCGGGACTGGAGACGAGCGCTTGACCAGCCAGACATGGCCATGCCCGCCTTTTACCGGACGGTGGCTTGAAGCTCGGCGGAGACGCACATTGTGGTGTATCTGATGGCGGCGAGCCGAGATACAGATCATTGCTGACCCTGTGGGTGAATGAGTCGCAGTCGACTGGATGAATGATACTGCGCACAGTCACAGGGCCTTGGCTTTGGGGGGATGGGAGAGGGGGATTGTGGGGAACCCAGCCGCCGTCAGCGACCGAATGGCGGTTGAGCGTGGCCGAGACTGATCGGTTGTTGTGCATATGAGGGGACCGGGCCTGAAGGCACGTTAAAGAGCTGCACGCAGGTGTGAGTGGGCCACGGCGTCTCCCGTGGGTTCTGTGAGCTGTCGCTACCACGCACCTAAGGACATACTGTGGTGTGTCTGGCAACCACGTCCACCACAGACAGCCTCATGGCTCGCGTCTCATTGTTGCTACACCAGCTTCGCCGACCTTGTCTTCGTCTGCTTTCTTCTTCCCTTCTTTGCCACCACAGATAACCGCTGTCAGCACCTCCGCCCTTCTCTCTTCACCTTGCCAAGGCTTGGAGTCTGTAAAAATGAGCTGAGAAGGAGGACAGAACCTGCAGGGGCAGGGATGATGGAAGCTGGAAAGCTTCCTACAATGAACGCCACCGACCTTGGATCCGCCTTACCTGGCTCTCCTCTCAGTCAGAGATGATTGAATTCACGTCGGGGGGCATCTCGTATCGAGGCAAAATTTTGGTTGTCTATTCCTTGTGTGTCACGTAGGCATGCTAGATGTATACGTGGCCGAGCTCATTATGATATGCACCAATGCTCGGGGCTACACGCTCAACGCTTCCAGCGCGGCTCCGTAAGGTATGGAATGAGGAAGGTGCTGCCCTTGCAATTGTTGGTCGGGAACAGCGAATCTGTCGACTGTCGCCTGATTCGCGATCACGATGCAATCGGCATGACCGTGTGGGTGCGCAGGTGCAGCGCAGTAACAATAGCAGCAGAATGGAGTAGTGGCAGCGGCAAGAGCAAGGGATACCGAGTGGTGTCTCAAAGTAGGTGCAGCCTGTAGAGCACATGGTCACTGCCCAGCCTGCAGCGTGCCTGCCGCCTGCCTTAGTGTCCACCATTGCTTCTGTAGTCCGTGCCAGCAGTTCCCTGATAGGCACTGACTTCCTGCCACAGCTCCCGGCCTGCAGGAAGGTAGAAGAATGCCTACATGCATATTCAGCGAATGAAGTAGCTTGCCATCATCCGAAAAATTTAGAGCCTTCTCGGATGAGGAAAATGAGGTGGTTTTTTCTTTCAGGTTTTTTTTTGGTGTGACGACGTCGTCCCGAAAGCCAAAAGGACATTGGAGACGCAGTGATAAGTCATGAAGAACAATGTCTCTCTAGCCTATCAGGCATTACGCATCATCTAGAAGCTCAACAGGACATGACAACGAAGAAGGCAGGTGCATGTGAGGGGCTTCAAGCCTTGAGGTGCACACGTCTGCTAGTAAAGAGGGGCTGCTTCTGCTTGGCGAGGCAGCTGGGACACACACTTGGGTTGTTGCTCATGCGTATGTAGGTAGAGCCGAGGCCGGTGCAGGCAGGTGCAGGCAGGCGAGCTGGTACGTGCAGGCACAACGCGCTTTAGCAGGGGCGCGAATGGGTTCGTCCATCCCATCTCTTGAGGTAGATCCGTCCATCCAACAGTTGGGTTGGAGGTGTGGTGGCAGGCATGGCGATCTCTGCTTCGTCCTATCCTCGACCGTCTTAACTCTCCAAACGTCCAAGCTTCCAGAGCTCTGGGTTCCCGGCCAGGCTGGTGCTATATTCCTCTTCTTCACGAGCCGGACCTCGAACCGCAAGATGAGGCGAGATGCCAAAAGAGAGCCAGCCAGCCATACACCCACCCACACCAGCGTCTTAACCCCTCGTCGCTCAGACTGGATGAGAATTAGAGACGCAGCTGACGGCGGTGAAAAGAAAGTTCAGAGAGCATGGCGTAGACAGTTCTCTCTGTAGTATCCCTTTCCAATTTCCCTCAAGTCTCCTCTCGGGATCCATCATGCCGCTATCAGTACGGATCGTCGTACGCCTCCTTCAAACGGAAGCAAGACCTTGGACGCGTCAATCGCATCTCCAACACCTGCAGAGAGATACTGCGGTGGATTCGCCCCGCCGCCGCTGTGCTGCTGGCGGCTGTTGGGTCACTCGTGGGTGGATTTACCATACGACGGGCCGGGCCAACAATGATTTGCACACCACCCTCCTGGCTTCGCCATCTCCACCAATGTGTGTGGTACCTCACCAAAATTACCCTTACAGGTCTGCAACACCGTGGCCACGCACAGGCGACGGGACCTCGATGCTCGCCGCATCAGATCAGCGTGCCAGCCATCCGTCTTGAGTTCGGGCTCAAGCTCTATCGTTGGGGTTGAGGGCCGGGATCAGCAGGCCGCTGTGATCGCAACCATGATACAACCGCGACAACGACCGTGGCCATGGTGGCCGTGATTGTGGCCACGACCGAAAGCAACCAAGATCTAGATAGTGTCATGGCTGTCTCGACTGGCGGACTGCGCAATACCAGCACGATGAGCGGCAGCTTCATCAACCATCCCATCGAACAATCCACCCACCCACCTGATCCACCAGGCCATCCACCTTTTTTTATTCGTCCCATCTTTTCTTCGACTTGGGACGATCGGCTCACACTCTCACACCCTCCCTGAAGCACCCTGGCTTCACTCCTTCGTCCCCTGAACCCCGTCTCCCCGGTGGG